GTGTTTTCCCTGGGAGATTTAACCATCATTAGCAGAAAGCTTCATTTGCAATAATGTGTGCAGCCCGCTGTAGTGGGCCAGAGCAATGCATTATCACTAACTCAAAGAGATTAATTTAATGGGCAATTATATGCTTCCTGCTTTGAAATACTTGCAGGTAACCAATAGTACTTGCTGCAAATGCAATGCCAATTGTTCACTCCCAGGTAAAGAGTGTCAGAGAGTTTTGCAACTTTCTGTTCCACACCCTCACCATCTCTGTGAAGGACACTTTAAAATCAGCATTCAGTGCATCTACAATGCCCCTGCAGAGACTTTATTCTATGCAAATTGATTCCCACATTCTCAGTATTCTTTACTGTCTAATGGCTATAATCAGCATGGGAAAATTAAAAAAAAAAAGACCAAACAAACCAATAATGCCTCATCTTTCATTGCCTCCCTTTGCAGTATTGTCAAGTTTGAATGTACATATATATATTTGTGTGTGTGTGTGTGTGTGTGTGTGTGTGTGTGTGTATCTGGGAACAAAGAAGAAGTTGTGAGAAGTAAATTTCTGAAACTCTCCCTTGAGATTTTAATTCAATAGGTCTCCAGTGAAGTCTAGACTATTTGTTTGTTTTAAACAATTTTCTAGACAATTCCAATCAATGTTCTCCTTTGAAAAATAACCTCCTAAAATGTACTATACTGTGTTCTCTATTCTATGTTCCTTAGTTTTCTAATCTATAAAATGGGACTAGGATTCTGGTTGTAAAAGGTCCAAAGCTCTGCTATGCTCATTAGGCAATATTCTTACTCGGTCTCTGTAATAAAATGCGTACTTGTTCTTTCCTTCACTTCACCCTTGTCCTTGCTCTAGTCTTCTGCTTTGCACAGAAAAACTATTCCATTCACTTGATTCAAGAAATGATGTACCAATATTAGAAGCTCAAATTGAGCAAGAAGATAAAGAGGAAAGAAGATAGAAGTGAGGTTTCTGTGGAGGGTGTTTAAGGACATATATTCTGCAGTTAAACAAAGGTCTGATCTTGTGCCCACACCCCCATCCCTTGCTCTCTATGAAACTTTGGCAAGTAACTTAACCAGTATCTGAGTTTTTTTTGCCTGGAAAATGCTTATTGTAATAGTAGTCACTTTTTCAACAAATATTATGAGAATTAAATGCATTGAAGGGCTTTCCAGTTTATTTTCTCTCTCTTTTTTTTTATTATTCAGCTAAATTTACATTGACTCTTCATCATCATGGTAAACAGCAGCCATGTCCTGCAGTTTCAGGGAATGGGGTTGCTACTAGTAGAGATACTTAGCAGAGATATGCTATACAAGCCTAATCTCTTGTTAGCACATGGGCATCTACCTGCCGGCTCATGTGATAAGATGTGCCAGTTGATCATGATGATAGCATAGATCTAGTACCACTGAAATACTTGGGTAATAAGCACAGTGAAACATCTCAGCCTCAGTTAAGTGAATCTGACACAAGAGGATAAAGAATGACATCTACATACTCAATAAGAGATAACCGACGGACTTCTCTAAAATCCACTTTTTAGCCTAATTTCATTTGTTAAATCTTTTGTCTGATGAGACAGCATTCTGAGAGTAATTTTAAATTGTTCTCCCTGGAATAACTATTTCTTTATCCTTATTAGAACCTCCTCCTATGAGGTTCTGTTATTCTGAATGGTTTTAAACATTCATCTCAGATGAATACTATAAATCTCCCTTTAATATTTTTTCCCCAAGACATGGTCTGTGGCTTTGGAAGATAAACATCATGTGATGGGCTAAATAATCAAACCAAGTCAAAAAATGTTTCTAAGCTATGTTCATAGTAATTTCAATTTTTTAATTTCTCTGTGATCTTATGATTTCCACTTCCTTTTATGATTAAGAACAAAGAAGGTTTAATAGTACACTTAAAGTTTTCAAATTTATGCCACCCCAGCTCATATTTTACAGCTAAAATTTAAAGCTCTCATTTGTATTCTCATCCTTGTTTGTTCTAAGAAAGAAATCTGCAAATATTCAAAATCAGACAGATCCTTAAGATTACAGTTTAACATTTCTTAAGATGTTTAATCTGAATTAAGCATGTTTTTTGGCCAAAGTGCACCTGTGTAGTTTGTTTAGTTTTCAATCTCTGACCAAAAAAAAAAAAGATGTGACAACTCCCATCAACCCATCAACTACTATTAATCGATTTGAACAGAGTCGATGCTTGTTTGGGCATATATTTTAAATTCCCCATAGTTTATGAATCTGAAACATGATTGAATCATTCCCCTAAAAATGTGAAGAAAATGTTATCTGATCTACCTTTGATATTATCAGTAATTTGGTTATATTGGATTAATAATTAATACCATTTAAAAATCTTAACTATTTACTAATATACATAAAGTCTTGATTTTTTCATATGTATTTGGAAGTAAGTTTTAATATAATCATATCCTCATTGAGGGAGGTCAGTAGCTGTAGTTATTTTCACACCATCAATGTGGAATTGTTTAAATTCCCAACACTCCCAACATTATCTTATTCCTTACCTCTGTGCCTTTCTTTATGGATAGATCAACAGGTTTCAATCTACCCTTTCATATGCAGGTACTCCCAGGGCCACTGGAAAGAAAACTCCTAGAGGGAGCAGGATTTATGCCTACTTTAGTCCCTGCTATATCATCAGTCACTAGATGAGTGCTTAGCAATAATAAAGAGTTAATAAACAATTATTGAATGAATGAGCAAATGAACATCTTCCCCGACTGAGCTTGGTAGCCTTGTCACCCTGCAGCTATCAGCTCATGCCCTGGAGCGGCTGTTTTTGTATCTGTTTTTCTTATTTGTCTGGGATTTCTTGAAAATGAGTCTTCTGTTTCTGGATTGTCCTGAAATATTTCTTAAGTAAGTTCTCTGTGTATTCATTGTATTGAGTACATTTTGCTGATAACTGATAAACCTTGATGGATATTTAAGTAAAGGAATCTAACACATTTTTAAAAGGTGGAATGGGCCTTGAGCGTGGATCATGTTTGTAATTCCAGCAGGAGGATCAATTGATGTGAGGAGCTGGAGACTAGCCTGGGCAACATAGTGAGATCCTGTTTCTACCTAAAATACAATGATTAGCCAGGCATGGTGGCTTCTTCCTGTAGGCCCAGGTACTGGGGAGGCTAAAGCAGGAAGACCACTTGAGCCCAGGAGATAGAGGGTGGAGTGAGCTATGATAGTGCCACTGCACTCCAGCCTGGGCAATAGAGAAAGATCCTGTTTCAAAGGTAACATGAATTAAGGTTAACTCTACTGGATTGTGTTCAATATATGAGAAAATTATTTTAAAAGTAATTATTGGCTATACACATTAAAGAAGACTGGTTTTTTGAGCTTTTTATAAAGCCTTAAATCATCTAAGTAGATACAGTTTTTCTGAGAGGCTTAAAGTAATAATCAGTCTTCAACATAATAAATTATTAAAAAAAATATTTCTACATCTTTCTGAATGTGATTAACACTTCTAATAAATGATAATCACCAAAATGGCATGCTTTGTTTGCTTCTTCTCTTTAGGTTACAAGGGAAAAATACTGTCAGGGTAAGACACTAGAGAAGAAATTAGTACTCCTAAGGCAGGAAAAACACAAAGTTTCCAAAACTCTGTCTCTATCCAAAGCCAAAGTTTGATAGTGTGGAAACTACCCAATTGACTGCATGTTCTCTGCCTGCACTCAAGGCTGCTGTAAGAAATAAACATTCTTCACTCTTGAATCTTCATGATTTCACACAAGTGTTCTTTTTATAGGACTTGGTAGAGGACATTCTCCTCGCATCACAAAGCCAGAAAAAATAATGTTTCTTTCCTGAATGCCTGGATTACTCTTTTCTAAAATATAAATTAATTATTTTTCACAGAGATATTTCCTCTGTTTTCACATGAGCTGCTAGACAGTAGAGTGACTTTTAGGGCATATTTCCTACAATTATCATCTAAATTCCTCTACAGAATATGTGTGACCATGAATCCTTCCAAGCGTTGATTTTTATTTTCTTAATCATATTCCCTTTACCATAGCTCCCTTGGAATTTATTGTCTCCTTTGAATTTGCTTACAACTTTGAAGGACTCATCCAGTCCTTTATAGAAAATAGATATTCAGATAATAAACAATATGTATTTTGCTAGGGAAAAAAAAGTGAACATTACGTCCCTTTTCCATATTTTTCTATAATAAAAGTTGGTGAGGTAGATGTAAGTTCCCAAAGACAATGTGGCACCAAATTTCACCATACAGCTATTGTTTAGAGAGTCCAGAATAGTTTTATCAAGTGCAAAGATGCTGTGCTCATTAAAAGTTAACAGAAAGATTAGCATGTTATTTGAACAACCCTAGACTCTCCTCCCCTAAAATGAAATAGCTTAAATGTTTTCACAAAATTTATGAAAAAATTTACGTTGAATTTATATTGAAATAATTTTAAACATTCCATGATTACTGTATACAATACATTAAACTCAAAAAAACTAAACAAACTTATCTATAATCTCTCCTAAAATAAGGAGTATTGATAAAGTTTTCTTCTATATTTTCCATATGTGTGCATGTTTATATTTAAATATGTAATTATTTCTATAGTGTATGTACTATACTATCTATATATGTGTGTCCAGTTATTTAAATTACAGTGTACAATTCTTGAATTATTTTTTTACCTGTTGTTTTATGCCAAATCTTTTCCTTTTACTTTAAAATGCAAAACATTGTTTTTAATGACTGAATAATGGGTATAAGAATGTTTCCTTCTCACATATCCTGAAACATTTCAATAATTTACTACAGTGTAAGTTATTTTGTGTTGAGATGATACATTCAAAGGCTCCTTGGGAACAATAAAATAAGTTCCAATGCCAAGGTATCCATCAGAAACAGGAGCTGCTTACCACATGATGGATATGCATAAATTGAACTCACAAGCAAGAAATGAACAAACCCAGGCACTTACTAATTTCAGTAGCAATGATTGTTATGTTGTGCCATACACTTAATTCTCTGTCAAGTGGTGTTGCCAGCGTTATCTTCCCATCATCTGCATTAATGTTGAACTGCCTCTCCAGGTCAGTATGCCGGTCGATGGAAAACCTACAAAACAGACACATCTGTAATCTACTTCAATGTTTATATGATCCATACATTCCACAGCAGACCTTTAGTAATCCTTGGAGAGCCATAGTTGTGAAGTCAAATGAATTGGGAAACTCAGTAGCATCATAATTTATAAAACAAAATGACTAAATCAGGCACAAGAAACTTAATAATTATTGTCCAAGGAGCAATTAGCTGCATATGCAACATGAAGGTCATAAACTGCCATCAGTTTCAATAGGTAGCATCTTCAAAAATGGATGCTGATGAAGAGTTAATTGGACAATCCATCACATTTATTGGACAGCTTATGATAATTAGCAGTTGCCACAAAATATCATATGAAACAATGAATTCAGCCCAAAGCAGGATGGCACTAGGCAGCATGTTATGTATGTCCATTCAAATAAAATATGTATTTTGTTAAACTTTGATTTGACTATACTGCGTTTATGGGATTTCATTTTGTTGGTGATGGTGGCCATTTGTTTTGTTTTGTTTTCATTTTAAGTGAAGTGTGCATTTAGGTTTTCTATTAGTCTCAGTCCATAGAAAACAGATAGTTGTTGATTCTATGGTTGCTTTTAAATAGTAGTTTATTCTACAGTTAATATTTTCTTATGTTTTTAACATATTTACAACACTACAGTTTACTAAATTAAGAATTTCAAAGAAACATATTAGTAGTTCTTTTACCAAGAAAACTCTTTCAGATAAGAAAATATGTGTGCTGTGTGGTGTCTAGATCAAACTGCTTATCAGGGCCACTAAGTATCCAGGTAGTATCAAGAAAAAAAAAAAAAACAGAAATTATTTTTTATCACATTTTATTAATACTTTTTTTTTTACACCAAGATTAGCTTCCTGGCTATGGAATGCTGGACCCAATAAACTTTAAGTTTTAGAGACTACAAGGTGGACTTAGAAAGATTAGCCCATAAGTAAGCAATAATGCACTAAAACAAGCTAGGATGGAGGCCCAAAGAAGGATGTATGCAATTGCATTTTAGGAAGAAAGACTGAAGAAGGCCTTCAAGATTGAGGTGATGGATTAGGAAATGCACATGAAAACTCTCTATTCAATGATACTCATTAAACTCAAATCTAGAACATGGTCTATGTTAGTTAATACTGAGCATAGTTTTATACATGTTCTTTATAGATAGTTTATTATATGGCAAAGAAGAAGACTATGCCATTACAAGAAAATAAAAAAAATAAATTCTCCATAATCTTCCAACTAGAATTTTGTATTGCTAATATTTCAGTAGAGTTAATTGAAAACATCGTGTATGTATGCATATGAATATGCATCTACCAATTTGTATCAATACCTACCTATGAAGAGAGCTAGATAAATAACTATACAGCTATTTACTAGTTAGCTAGCTAGGTGTATATAGATAGATATATGTATATATATTTTTTCTCTTTTTAGCTATTTCCTTTTCATTAGAGAAGGTATGCATATCATTTACACCATGCTCAAAGGTCATAAAAAGACCTCCTTGTTAAATCCTGCCTACCAAAGACACTCATCGTTAAAGACTTTGGAGTAATATATAAAAGGACTTAATTTTATTAGCAATTTTACTGAGAAATCATTTTAAAACCTGATTGTAAAATGAAATAATAACTACCCATTTAGTAATGACTTAACTACAAATATAAACTAAGACACTGACTTGTACCGATACACTAGGCGTTTACAAATCATTCCCATCCCCACTCCCCAGGTTAATTGAAGAAATTCAGAGAAAATTTAAAAACTGAGATAGGTGAATTAACAGTGCTCTCAACAAAATCCTGAACATGAGGATATGTTTATTGCGAGGTGTTTAAATGTGTTGCATTATGAAAAGAAGACCAAAAGCCATTTTCCTGGGGAATAAGGGTGGTTGATTCGACCAATGATATTCCAAGTTTAACTGTAAAATAACTAAACAGACATGTGTTTTGCTTCAGATATCATGTACATTCTGACTCTAAAAAGAGCTAAAAATGTGTCCAGAGGATTAATTATCACTCTCTGCATCATATTCATAAAAAAAACTTTGCAGGCATTTCTGGTTCTAGTAATTTTATTATCTTACTGCTGATATTTCACACATCCATGCATCAACCAATTTCCCAGAGGCCACAGTAAACACGAATCAGTCTAATCACTGATACTCATGAATCCCAAATCAGATACATATTCCACGGCTATTTGGTTGCTGTCCAGTAATTGCCTAGAATTCCTAGCCCCAAAGAAGCATTGGGAGCAACAATGGGGTATTTGGAATTTGGCATTAAAAGAAAAGGTTTTTGTTTAATACCTTATTCAAATATGTATCATGCAGAACTCAAATTTGTATCAAATTATATCTCTATCACTTATGTATTGCTGTTTCTAGGATAATTAGTAAATTCACTGAGTGTGAATTTATTTGCTGATGAAATAGGAATTATTTATATCCCACAAATAGTTGTGAAGACTGACAACAAAGCTTAAATTAATATCTGGCTCTTAGTATGTATTAAAAATAGGCTCATCATCATCATCATCTCTTATTAAATGATGTATTAATAAACTTCCCTATTTAGAAGGTAGTGAAGAATGCCCCTTCCTTAGCAATTTATAAATGACAGAAAACTTTTTTAAAAATGCATGCTATTTAACTCCCATAACTCTAACAAAGGCAGTAATATTTTTCTCAGTTTTTAAAGTTTCAGATCATGACAGACTTTATGGGGTGAGTCATGGGAATTTATAAAACAGTCTATAAATACAGTCCTTTAGTGAGATCAGAGGTAGGAATGTCATAATATTACAAGATTACACAATAGAAGAAACTTGATGGGAAAGAAATGACTTAGTTTAAAATTAACTTTAAAGTCTACCTCAACTATTTTGGAAAACTCCTGCTGCTTCTATAGAAACTTCACACATTTTATTGCCTAGTAGACTTTATGATAACAGCTCTCAAGAATGACTAAACAGCACAAAAATTCTGACTCAACATTTTGGTCAACAAGCATGTATGAAACACCAAATTTGCACCAAGCACAGTGCTAGATTCCTTTTCATTCTCCCACCCTTCTTTTCTTGGTTTCTTATATAATGAATAACAGAAAAATAAAACTCTTAGAGACTAGGACATTTTAGGTAACACAACTGTTAAACAGCGGAACCAGAATGAATACTCACATCTGAGTCATTGTGAAGGCCTTGCGTAAACCAACCACATAAAGGGCTTACCCTATTCATGCATAAAATGGGGATAGTAATAATCCCTGGCTAACAAGATTGCTGTGAGGATCACATGAGATGGTAGGTGTGGCACACTTCACAAACACGTGTGGGCTGACCGTTGTGCATACCACAGTGTGAAGGACTCTCATATCATTTGTTATCATGGTGACATCCTTGAATGGCATGTACTCAATTTTCTGAAACCCAAACCAGGACACAGCATTCTTTGATTTGAATGTTTGTATGGTTCCCAAAATACAAACGTTGAAATCCTCACTCCCAAAGTGACAGCATTAGAAGGTGGGCCTTTGGGGAGGTAATTAGAATCTGAAGCCCTCACAAATAAAATTAGTTCCCTTATGAAAGACCCCAGAAAGCTAGCAAGTCCCCTTACTCCATTGATTGTGTGCAACCTAGAAGAGAGCCCTTACCAGGACCCGATTACCTTAGCATGCTAATCTTGGACTTCTCAACCTTCAGAATTTCGAGTAATTCATTTCATTTTTCTTTCACTTTAAATTTAGAGGTACATGTGCAGGATGTGCAGGTGTGTTACATAGGTAAATGTGTGCCATGGGGGTTTATTGTATAGCTTATTTCATCACCGAGGTCTTAAGCCTAGTATCCATTAGTTACTTTTCTCTAATCTTCTCCCTCCTCCCACCCTCTTCCCTCTGGTAGGCCCCAGTGTTCCCCTTTATATGTCCATATGCCTCATCATTTAGTGCCCTCTTATAAGAGAACATGTGGTATTTGGATTTCTGTTGCTGCATTAGTTTGCTAAGGGTAATGTCCTCCAGCTTCATCCATGTCCCTAAAAAGGACATGATCTCATTTTTTTTTTTTTTACGGCTGCAACGTATCCTATGGTATATATGTGCCACATTTTCCTTATCCAGTATATTATTGATTGGCATTTAATTTGACTCCAAGTGGTTTTTCTTGTGAATAGTGCTGCAGTTAACCTATATATCCATAGGTCTTTACAACAGAATGATTTATATTCCTTTGGGTATACACCCAGTAAAGGAATTGCTGGATCAAATGATATTTCTGTCTGTAGGTCACTGAGGAATAACCACACTGTCTTCCACAGTGGTTGAATTAATTCATATTCCCACCAACAGAAGAAATTGATTTCTATATAGTTCATAATACATACAGCCTATTTTGTATTTTGCATTTTGTATACCAGTCCAGATGGACTATAAAACAGAGTATAACAAGTAATTATTTTTCTCATTTTGGAATATACTGATATGAACATATCTTAGACACCTAAATATTAAAATGCAATATCTAAGTAAAGATGATTTATTGAATAAGATGATAAGAATTTGGATCTTCCCTGAAAGTCACAGAATAAAAGCTTCTATCTCCCATGCTCTTTATAAGCCTATAGATAACACTTAATCCACGTTCATTGCCTCACAAACTCTGCTCTGCTGCTTGAAGACATGACCTGGATTTCTAGGTGTTTCTTCTTAGATTGCCAGGACAGTCCTAGTCCATAGGCCACTCACATACTCCTCATCTCCTCACAAAGAACATGGGTCCTCAGCCTGGCAGCCTGAGTTCTCATCTTAGTTTCGTCAGTAACACATATGTGATTTAGTCAGGTTATTACTGGTCCCTGACCTGTAAAATTGGGATTATAACATAATTTATGAGCTTTAAATGAGGTAATGCTTATAAAATACTTGCTGAGGGCCTGGCACCAAAAAATATAAAATAAAATAAGTTCAATAAACATGTATTCTAA